AGAGTGTTCCAATTTATAACATCGTCAATGCAGTTTCGAAGAGTGTCTAGGGCAGGAGAATAATCATTGGTATTGTTCCCTCCCTAACCAAACCGTTAAATCATTGCCTCCATACGAAGACCTTCCCAAAAATTTGGAAAGTTGCAAAGGTCACACCCATCTGTAAGGAAAACGAGGACAGGATGGTGAAAGCAATTATAGGGCTATTTCGGTGTTTCCGGTACTATCAAAACTTTTGGAGAAACACAATGTCGTCGCTGTGTTAATTCCTGCGTGAAAATTATTTACTTCACATCTCTAGTCTGGCCTCATGGAAATCTCCACTGAAACGGCTCTGATGCGACTTGTGGATCAGATTTTATTTGATCGTGACAGTAACAAATGTTAGAGGTCTTGCCTTTGTTGACTACAAAAAGGCGTTTGATCTTATTGACCATCACCTGTTGCTAAACAAGCTTGGAGCGATAGGCGTAGTCGAGGATTACCTGCCTTTATTTGCTGATTACGCTAGCGGTCGTAAATAACTCGCAAACATAGATGGATTCTATTCTACTGTAAGAGAAATTACCTTGGGTGTACCTCAGGGTAGCAACCTGGGTCCCGTCCTGTTTCTCATATTTATTAATGACCTACCCTCGGCATTACAGAACACTGTAGCAGACATTTATGCCGGTGACAATAAAATCAGTTATTCGACCGATTTCAAGCTAGCGCCTCAGGATGTAAGTGATGGGCTTTAAACAGACTACAGAAATGGTCAGATAGCAACAAGATGATTCTTAAATGAAGACCAAAACAATGCTTGCTACAGGGAAATGGCTTGACAAAAGATAAGGAAACCAGCAGTTCCAAGTCAAATTAAATGCTTCTCATTTTGAACAAGTGCTTTCACAAAAGCTGCTGGGAGTCAAGATTGCTTGCAGGCTATCCTTTGATGCCCACATCGATGACCTATGTAAGAAGATCTCTCAGCGCATTACTGTTCTGGGTATAATTAAGAGATTTCTTCCTCTTAAGGAGCAGATGGCATATTACAAGGGGATGATCAAGCAAGTAATGCTCTGTGGGTGCACGGTGGGGTCGTCTTGTTCTCTTGAAAACTTACAAAGGGTGCTTGGTCTCCAGAAATTAGCTGCGTGCGTTATCCTTAACGGCAATACGCGAGCAAACATTATCGAACTTTTCAATAAATTAAATTGGCTCTCACTTCACCTTAAAGTGAAAGTAAATATGTGCATACAAATGTACAACCGTATCAACGGACAATGCCCATTGTACATTAACGAACTCTTAATACGTAACTCGGACATTAATGATCGAAATAGTCATCATGGTTTTATAAACTTGGCCTGCCCTCTTTTAAACGAGAATCCGAGGGAGGGCGCTGATTTCGGGTGAGAGCAGCAAGACTTTGGAACTCCATTCCCATTTTTTTTTTAGGAAAAGCGCAAGTGCACTCAGTTTTAAAAAGAGTTTGATGGATTTTTATGCGTCTAGTATTAAAGACATTCATCATTTTACAGTTTTTTAACTTGTTCAGTTTTAATTTTTAATATTTAGAATGTAATATGAATTTACTTTTTAGCTTATCTTGTATACATTTTAGAGTTTAATTTGCCAGTAGTCTTTAAATTATTGTACATAGGTTGATAGATTTCTAATTATTGTATATTTAAGAGGCCCACATGTTTACTAGTTGTGTAATTATTAGGTGTTACCATCGATAAATAAACAGTGATTGGTTGATTGATTGCTTAATTGATTGATTGACTGATTGAATCCACTAGGTCGAGGAATGGTTGGTCTTTTTGAGCATCTCTCTAAGATCCCAAACCTAAAGCGTCTTACCCTTGAAAGAGTAGATGACGCTTGCAAGAAAGTTCAAAGTTTGACCATTACCGCCGATTATTTTGTGAGTGTGAGTATCCTCTTTATTCTTTCATACCTTCGGTCCTCACTAACGACGTAAGCCACAGACTACCCAAGCTCAAAATACCTGGTGTATGCGACAGCTTGTGTATATAGAGAATTATATGAGAAAATCACCGATCATAAAAAAAAATTGTGTAAATAACTATCTCATTTGAAATAAAGTTTTCCCACCTCAAATGTGTCGCGTACCTGTCTCTTGTGCCGATTTTAAAGCCATTCTGACGCCGTTTAGTGAAGTTATTCGAAACTGTTGTCTCTCAGGAAAAGTGCCGAATCGCAATAAAACCAACAGTTCCATAAAGCCCGATAACGCTGACACACGAGCTGACACACGAGGGTTCCCGTGAACCGTCGTGTGTCAGCGCGTGACTTGGTTTAAATGGACCAATCAGAGTTGAGGATGAAACCAGCTACGTGACCTTTGCGTAACAACCGTTGGCGCGGACCTGCTCACAACCACATCAGGACAGCCGAGGAGGCTAACTTTAAGCCAAATTTTTCGTTCTTCACTAGTTTTTCGATTGCCGAAGCACACGTATATAGAGTGAAATTTATCAGGCTTTATGGAACTACATAGACAAGTAAAAACAAACGATATAATCTCCCGACGTGTCGGTGACCTCATGACGCCATTATCAGGGGTACAAATGAGAATTAAATTAACAAATGCGAGTTCAAGAGTTATAACTAATTTACATAACGGAGGTGGCTACACAAATACTTAAGCACGAATAGAATCCGTTTGCACGTTCAAACTCGGTATTAATTGTTTGATGTAAAGCACCTCGTTGACAAGACAATCGAATTTGTTCATGCATTTCTTGAGAACTTTGAAACAGCTAAGGAGGTCCTCA